GGGGGGAGACACACCCCCCTGCCGCTCTTGCCCGGGGGGCAGGGCGTGCTTGTCCAGGCCCCTCCATACCTCCTACACTCCTCCAGAACGTGAAGGCTGGGCTAAACAGATTCCAGGCTTCTTCCTCTCCCGGAAGGTGCAAAGGCAAGGTGGTCTCCGGTCCCTCCTCTTCCTAGGCACAGGGAGGGACATGGTGGCCGCCTTCCTCCTTGTGGAAAGCAGCTGGACGGAGGACAAAGGCTGCACCGACAATCACAGGAGCCGCCAGCCCAAGGCCCGGGAGGGAAGCCAGGGCAGTGAGGGACAAACTCTTCCAATGGAGCTTCTAGGTTCAGTGGCTCCATTCCCTGAGAGCACCTGAACCAAAACATGGTGCCAGGCATTCAGGACAGAGAGGACCAGCCCCAGGCAGAGGTGGGCACAGCGGGCCTGGTCCTGAGCTAGAGAGCCAGAGAGCAGGGGCAGCACGTGGGAAGGAGCACAGTCTTTGGGAGGCATGAGACCCAGATTGATGGGAAGGGCACTAAAGGGGCTGGAAGGAGGTGGCAAAAGGAGGGAGAAGGCGACAGAGGTGGCCATCCAGCCAGCATCAGCTGCACTGCATCAACACCAGGAAGGGGTGTTTAAACACTGTGGGGTGCCCGCGGTGTGCATGGCATTTTTAGACAGGGTCTCGCTGTGTTGGAACCCTCCCACCTCAGCCTCCCAAGTGGACAGGACCATGCCAGGTGGGCTTTTAGGGCGGGCCAGGGGTGGAACCCATGTCTCCCATGTGGCCTCAGCCTGTCCTGTCTAAGAGCAGCACCCAGTGCCTGCTACCGCAGCAGGCGGATGTTTAAACTTATAAATCCTAACAACATGGACAGCTGGACACTGGAGACATCTGCGCAGAGGAGCAAGATCAAACCCCAGTGGACGTAACACAATGCATCCATTAAGGTATTTACCATCAGAAACCAAATTTGACAAAAATTAGCCTACTTCTAAATACTGAAAAACAAATACAGTCATTGAAATTTGGCATTAAGCCACTTTGTAGTACTGTTTATAATAAATGAATATTGTATGAAAAACAAACAAACAAACATAAAGATGGACCCTGCTTCTATCTTGGGCCCTTGAATGTTAGGCTGGGGACCAGCTGAGTGTTAAGGTTTGTAGTTCGAGAACAGAGCCGGGCACGTGGGCGCCACACCAGATTTTCAAGCCAAGAAAGCACCAGTGTGACCCGTTAACCGGGTTGGACGGCGGCACATCTGCTGACGCAGGCTTCAGTCCTGAACCATCTCAGAGCTCTACCAAGTGGAAACCATGCTGCAGGCCTGAGAGTGCCCTGCCCTGACCTGCTGGCAGGAGCACCAGAGGCTGCCCCCCCCCTGGCCACCACTGACTGGTCACCACTGGCCAGAGGGTCAGGGCCTCTGTCTCGGTTAACCAAATGAGGAAATTGGGGCCGAGAGAGTGATGGTCTCACACCACCTCTTTACACTTTAATAGGGGAATTTTGAAGATCAGTGAACTGAAGGGTCCATTCCTGATGAAGGGGGCACTGATGGGGCAGGACAGGGCACTAAGCTACAGGGTTTTATTTGTTTGTTTTAAGGCTATTTATTTCTTCCATGAGACAAGGAGACAACAAAAGCAGACACCCCAACAGGGTCGTCCCTGCCACGTCCTCGCCCTGGCCGCAGGTGGCCCAGACCACAGGCACACACGTGCCTGGTGTGCTCAGAGGGGCCCTGGCCCTGTACGTCCAGCTATGCTGCCCAGCTCTGCTCTGCAGCTTTGCTCTGGTTACTGTCCCCGACTTCACCAGGTTCCGCTCTGACCTTGGTTTTGGCTGTACCTCACCTTCACTCCATCTCCCTTCTCTCTCACTTGGCGTTGACCTTCACGTTCCCTCTGCACTTCCCTTCACTCACCTTCCACTTGCTTTCCCCATGGTCGGCTTTAACTTTCACTCTCCTTTCCTGGTTGATTTGGTGGCGGTGGCATTAGAGTGGCCATGAGCAGAGACACACTGGCAGCCCTCGGGCAGCAGAGCTCAGCTACAGGCTGGCAGAGGGGGATGCACAAGCCTTTTTCTCTGGCAAATAGAGCCCAAGCATGTGAGGCCTTGGGGGTGTGGTGGGGGACCTGGGTCTGCAGCAGCAAGGCCCGCCAGGAAGGAAGGGTGGGTTTCAAACCCTTCCTGTGAAGCAGGGACTACCGAGGAGGCACAACCTGTCTACACCTTATAAATGGCCACTTGCAAATGGAGGGCTGAGATGCACCTCTGCAGGGCAAAGCGAATGCCCTGGGAACAGTGGGTTGGAGAAGGCACGTGAAGGCGGTTCTCCAAGCCAACCCCCGTCTGGCTCTGTCCTCACCCAGGACATATGGGCCCTCGGGAACACCAGTGGAATGAGGCAGAGACTCAGCCGCACCTAAGTGGAGGCTCAGAAGAGGACACCAATGGGGTGCTCTCTGAACCCCCTGCATAGGTCTGTGCAATGGCATCAGGAGCCCAGAAGCCCCCCTCGCTGATGATCTGCAGACAAGCCTGAGCTGCATCAGGGCCTGTGTGGGGGGCACATGGAGGCCAAGCAACTGCAGCACCTGCAGGCTTGCAGCCTCCTCCCCCAGCAGCATTTCTCAGCCTAGGCCTCTCGTTTTTCATTTTTTGTTTTAAGACTGTGCCACGATCCTCCTGTGATTGCCCCTGAAGTGCTGGGATACAGGAATCAACTCGGGCCTCCCACACCCTCCCAGCCTGCAGAACGCGTCTTCACAGCACACACCACCACAGCCTGGGCCCACCGTAGGCCTCCGTTCCTCTCGGCTGCACCGAGTGCTGACCTCATTGGTGCTAGTACTCCTAGTGGCTACCGCACCAGTGAGAGACACAGCAAAGCTCCAAGACACCAGCTCTCCCCGACAGCTCGCACGGGAGGCAGTGATCCTCCACTTGGCTCATCAGCTATGGATTGGAGCAAAGGGCCTCCCTCACCTCAGCGCCTCCCTCCTGCTCAGTTCTGTGGTCTGGCCTTGGGTCTGGCCGACGCGCACTCGGGCGAGGTTTGGGGAGCTCTGGAACTCATTAACGGGCGCCGATAATGAGACCATCAGAAAAGCCCAGTGCTTGCCTGTCTAGGTAGACCAGAAACCAAAGTTACACCTGACAAGTGGAGTGATCAGAGAGCGTAAACCCAACAGGCGGCACCAGCTGGGGCAGCAAACCCATGAATAATTGATTTCACGGGCTATTCAGAGGTTTCCATTTTAATAACTTGGCAAGAGAATTTGTATTAGTTGTGCTCCAAAAGAAATTAAGGCATTTTTCAATTAACCGCTGCTGCAAATTTTCTAAACCCCTTCCACCCCATCCTGACCCTCCTGCAGACATAGGTAGGGCACACTGGCTCGCAGCTGTGCCCAGGATGGGGCAAGGTCCCCAGGAGACACACCGAGTGCTCACCGTTGTCGTTGTTCCGATGCAGGTGATCGATCATGAAAGGGATGGGGTCCTCAGGCTGATGGATCAGGAGCTGCTCCAGCATCGTCTGTGGGCACAGGGCAGACCCCCACTTGGTTTGCACTTGCAGTGCACCCTGGTCACCATGGATACCAGCTCTGGGGCTTGCTCTCTCCACTGCCCCTCACCAAACATGGGTTCCGCAGGACTCACTGTCTGCCTGGAGCCCCTGGGCGTGTCCAGGCCTGGGCCCCAGGGCCTGGCATAATCACAAGGGTGCCCAGTATAGGTACATGCTTGTAGGAGACCAGTGTCCCTCCAGAGTGGGACAGATTTTTTACCAGCCAAGATCTAAACCATCCCAGAAAGTCTGGACATTGAATCTGACTAAACAAACACTATCCAGGAAAAGAAGCTTCCAAAGTGGCAGAGCAAATGGCAAGTGGGCGGGAGGAACAGCTGACGGGCTGACTGGTCAGGGGCAGCTTTCCACCCCAGGACAGGCAGGGAGGGTCTTTGCCTCCAGGGAACAGGGAGGAAAGTTTCTCACTGAAATCTGAGAAGTCGTCCCCCCTCCCCAGCCCTGCTCTGCAGGTTCCGTCCCCTCCCTGGGCCTCTACTTCACCTGCTCAATGGCACAACTGGACTCAGTCTGCACGTACATCCCTGGTGTGGGGGTCATTTTAGCTGACTCATATATGCATATTTTTGTTTTAAAATAGGAACACGTTTAGTGTGCATTCGAAAAATAAGTAGGTAAAATCTCTTATGTTAAGTTGCTTAGGAAGAGGCAAAAGATATTTAATGTTTGTAAAGTAAGGTGATTTCAATAAATAATTAGAAGTGAGGCAGTGGTTATGTGAACCTACACACGTGATAAAATGTCATAGAACTGGGCCATTTGGTGGTGTGGTGGTCAAGGTAGCTGGATCTCACATGGCCAACTGCATGATTCAAGTTCTGGACCCGGTGGCTTGGAAATCACACCAGGCATAAGTGCATATGTGCCCAAAACCCCAAGAGGAGGATGGAGAAGGGACTGAGGTATGCTCATTTCTCCTAGGGGATGCTTTCTCACTTTCTGGCTCTTTTTCTCTGCACCCTCTCTCTCAGGTGAGTGCATGCAAATTATAGCAAAATTTTTAAAAAGAAAAAAATCATAGAACTGTACACAGAACAACAATAAGAAAAAAAAACGAGTGCAGGTAAAAATGGATCAAATCTTGGCCAGCCAGTGGTAATGGTGGTTAAGGTGGCAGATCCTCATGGCCAACTATGTGGTTTGAGTCCTGGACCTAGTGGCTTTAAAAATATTCCAAGAGTGTGCGTGCATGACCAAAATCCTGATAGGAGGGAAAAATGGAGGAGAAGGAATTGTGGCATGACCATCCCCAGGGGGGTGCTTTCTCACTTTCCCTCTCTTTCTCTGCTCTGGAGAGTGCACGTACTATCTAGTAAATGAAAGGGGAAAATAAAAGGAAAGAGAGGGAAGAACAGAAGGAAGGAAAGAAAGAAGGAAAAAAGGAAAGAAAGATTAAATCCAAATAATGCCTGCAGTCTGGGCCACAGTATGATCCAATGTCAACTGGCTGGTTTTGATGACAAACTTAGTTATTTCAAATGTCATCACTGGGAAACTTGGAGGAGGAGACCAGAGCAGCAAACTATTTTTGCATATTCCTGTGAATCTAAAATTATTTAAACATGGGTGTTAAAAACATGGAGACCAGGGAACCAGCAGTTGGCATAATGGCTATGTCGCTAGACTTCCATGTAGTCAACCACAGTTTGAATCCCAAACCCGGTGGCTTAAAACTCATGCCAGGTGCGTGTGCGTGCGTGCCCAGGATCCCAAGAGGAGAATGGAGAAGGGATTGCGGCGTGGCCGTCCCCCCTGGGGGGTGATTTCTCACTTTCTGTCTCTCTTTTTGGCAAGTGCACATACCCTATAGCAAAAACCTCTTAAAAAAAAAAAAAGGCAAAACAAAAAAACATAGAGGCTGGGGCTGGCAAGTGGCATGGTGATTGTGGGCACTGGATTCGCACATGGCTGACTGTGGTTCAATTCCTAGACCTGGCAGCTTGCTTGCTTTCTCTCTCTCTCTCTCTCTCTCTCTCTCTCTCTCTCCCTCTCTGGTCAAATTA